GCCCCTGCACAGAGAAACTAGCTGTAAGCCTTGTCTTTCTTTGGTGCCCCTCACTCTGTCCCTGAAGTTCTCGCCCTTCAGGCCGATGGCCACCTTGCAAGTCCAGACTTAGAAGCTGAGGCTGACAGCTCAGGGAAATGGTCACCTCTTCTTGCACCTCACACCAGCCAGGAAGCTACTGGCTGGTGTTTTAGCTGCTCAGGCCTCAAGGCCCTGGAGCGGGGGCAAGAGGAGGACTGAGACCAGCAAGGAGCTAGGGAGGGAGGTCCCCTGGCCTCCAACAGGACCTGTGGGCCCATTACATCTGGGCCTTGGATTCAAGCCTATCCTGCCCCTCTGCTTGACCTATTTGGCTCAGTGCTAAGCAGTGAGGGGATTATGGGAAATTCCTCAAGCCTAGCATGTTCTGTAGAGGAAGTGGGACAGAAGTAGGGGTTGATGAAGATCAGGTGCCACCTCCACGGGGACATGCATAGTCCCTCAGCAAAAGGCCACCTGCTCTGGGCCAGCAGGTGGCCTGGTGGTTGAGGTGCTGAATCCCACATGGCTGACCATGGTTTGAGTCCCAGACCTGGCAGCTTAAATATCACACCAGGTTAGTGTGCATGTGTGCCCCAAATCCCGAGAGAATGGAGAAGGGATTGCGGAATGGCAATCCCCCTGGCAGGTGATTTCTTACTTTCTTTCCAATTGTCTTTTTCTCTCAGGCAAGCGTAGGCCTCTATGGCAAAAACTTTATTATTTTTATTTTTTATTATTTAAAAAAATTAGTTATTCATTTATTTTACTTTAATTTGACTAGAGAGAGAGAGAGAGAGAGAGAAAGAAAGCAAGCCACCAGATCCAGGACTCAAACTGTGGTCAGCCATGTGGGAGTGTCCAGCACCTTAACCATCACGCCACCTGCCGGTCCCAGCAAAAACTTTAAAAATGGCCATCTGCCCTAAGCCTGTGGCCCACCTGCCTCTCCAGAGCCTCTTGTCTCTAGTGCTGGTGTCTGAGGTGGACCTTCCTTTCTATCCTGCCTCAATCCCATCATATATGTTCCTAGACTGCCTCCTCCTGGGTGAAAGGTGGCAGCTGGGACCAGCAGTTAGTGTAATGGCTATGTCGCTGGACTCCCATGTAGTCGACTGCGGTTCAAGTCCCGAACACGGCGGCTTAAACTCACGCCGGGCACGTGTGCATGTGTGCCCAAGATCCCGAGCCATAGAGCTGGCTAGGTGGGATCCAGTGCCTTAACCTCCACACCACTGCAGGCCCTGAGGTGGTATTTTTAATTGCCAGAGGGCAGAGACAGAGAGAGGGAGAAAGTATCCCCCTCCAAAGGTTATGAACACACTGCATTTCCCGCTACGATTCCTTCTCCATCCTGTCAAAATTTGGGGACACACACATCTTGCATTAATTTTTCCTTTTTTGCTAGTGAGCATATGCACTAGCCAGAGCCGGGAAGGGAGAGAGAAAGCAACTGCTAAGGGGGTGGCCATGCTGCCATCTCTTTTCCTCCTCTCCCTTCCTCCTTTTGGACATGCATGCATGTCTGACACCTCGGTTTTTTTGTTTTTGTTTTTGTTTTTCCTTCACGTGAGTTTTACCAAAGACAGACAGACTGAGCGAAAGCAAGCCTCCAGGTCTGGGACTCGAACCATAATCTGCCATGTGGGAATTCCAGTGCCTCAACCATGCCCGCTGCTGGCCCCCCACTGGGCCACGATTCCAGTTGTGGAATCTGGCTTCCTTTAACTACTAGGCTATGGGGCTGGCCCTGCACTGGTTTTATTTCTTCTATGACAGGCAGTCACTTCATCTCAAGCAGCCAGGACAGAAGCCTCAGGCCTCAAACCAAGGATCTTCCTCATGTGGGTCCAGCTGCATTACAGCTGCCCCAACTCCTGGTCCCAGCAGCACTCTAAGCACACCAGTTCAAAAGGCATAAACTGGCACTGTCAGGGCAAACTGTGAGAAATGCACCTTAATAATGAGATCTGGGGAAGCAGGTGGCATGGTGGTTAAGGTGCTGGATCCCACATGGCTTGATCGTAGTTCAAGTCCTGGACCTTGTGTTTTCTGCCAGCACATGTGACCTAAATCCCGAGTGGTAAAAGGACGGCTGTGTAGCCATCCCTTGGTGAGTGATTTCCCACTCCTGGTCTCTGTCCAACAAGTGTACTCACTCACCCTATGACAAAAATTTAAGAAAAAACAAACATCCTGAACCTGTCCATGGCATGAGGTGTTAAGGCAGCTGGGTCCTCATCCCACCCAGTGTGGTCCAAGACATGGACCCAGCAGCTTAAAATACAAACATGCTGGGTATGTGTATATTTGGGCCCAAAATCTTGAGAATGGATTGTGGCATTGCTGTGACACCACACATCCAAGAGTGTTTTCTCTCACCCACTCCCCCCACCCCACCCCCACCCCCCAAGAGCCCACACCCACTCTGGCTAAATTAAAAAAGATCTAGTTCTGCAAGACTGGAACCACCTGAGAAGGCTCCAGGCTTCACAACCTGGACCCACCTGACCACACACCTGCAATGGCTGGCTGTAAGGCTGGAGGGATTGTAGTTTAAAGAGACCCTGTCAAAGTCTCTAACTTTAAGGGGAAATCTGCCTTTTTTCTTTCCCCTTGAGAGGTTTTTGCAATAGGGTGCGTGCCTCACCAGAGAGAGACAGACAGAAAGCAAGAAATCACCCCCCAGGGGAGATGGCCACGCTGCAATCCCTTCTCCATTCTCCTCTCAGGATCTTGGGCATGCATGCACATGCATGCAGCATGAACTTTTTTTTGGGGGTGAGGTGCCTCACCAGAGAGAGACAGACAGAAAGCAAGAAATCACCCCCCAGGGGAGATGGCCACGCTGCAATCCCTTCTCCATTCTCCTCTCAGGATCTTGGGCATGCATGCAGCATGAACTTTTTTTGGGGGGTGAGACTTTTTTGCTATAGGGTGCGTGCGCTCACCAGAGACACAGAGACAGAAAGTGAGAAATCACCCCCCAGGGGGGATTGTCATGCCTCAATCCTCCATTCTCCTCTCGGGGTCTTGGGCACACACGCACACATGCCCAGTGTGAGTTTTAAGCCACCGGGTCCGGGATGTGAACCGCGGTCGACTACGTGGGAGTCCAGTGACACAGCCATTACACTAACTGCTGGTTCCCAATGCAACATGAACTTAAGCCACGGGGTCCGGGACTCGAACTGCTGTTGACTACATGGGATTCCAGTGACAGCCATTTACACCAACCGCTGGTCCCAGAAATCTATTTCTTTACAAAACATTGCTTCTTCCCATTCCTTCAGAGCAAGGCTTCCTAGATTATTTCCCAGTTTTGTGAAAGACATTATCAAATGAAAACCATTAACAAGATGAAAAAATATCTTCAAAAACAAAATTTTATTTTTATCTCATTCACCAAGGGCACAGGATAGCTTCATCAGCCCCAATGTCAGCTTTTCTTCTCAGACTCTGGTCCATTGCCCTTAACCGATGATTTCCTGTATAGGCAGCTTCCTAGAACCGAAAAATATTTGTCTTCTGGGTTAGCGTGCTCCGGTAGAAGGTATCACTATTTAAGTGGCAGCTTCCAAGGTGCCCAATAAAATGTGAGTCTTCATCAGACTGCAGATTAGGGAAGGCTCAGGGGACCCTCCCTATCACAGGTAATAATGCAACAAATGACCACAGCTAAGCTTCTGGTTTCCAGACACCGTAGAGCACAGCACACAATATGGAGAACACGTGAACTGTCAGAACTGATGTGTGCCTGTTCCAGATGTGGCTTATGATGGCCCTTCTTTCAAAGTTTTGCTTTGACACCTCAACGTTCATTAAGCCATCTACTCTATACTTCACCTCTTAAAAGCTTTTTTTGAATCTGAAAATCACCCCATCTTTTTGATTAAGAACCCATTTTAGTAGAGGAAAAAATCCCTTGCTGTATAGCTAATAGCAAGGTTTCTTACTGAAAAACAGACTTAGACCAATGAAATCCCTAATCTGTGGGCTTGTTAATAAAACTTACATCTCTAAACCCAATTCAAAATCGAGTTCATGACAGACCCCAAATTTAAGCCCTAGAAACTTTTCCCTTGGCCTGGTTGTGCCTTCAATGTAATACATTTCTTAAATTTATGGGGAGAAAGCCTGTTAATATACTTTGTCTTAAGTCCATACTGCAATTATGGCAACACTGTGGCATTTTTATGCGCAAAGCTATTTACATGCTTTCTGTAATTTTAAATAAAATATTAATCTAGCAAGCAAGCACTGAAATTATCTAACAAACTTGCAACACTAGGATACAAAAGAACCTAAATAATGGATGCATTAAAGGGTCTGAACATTCAATTTAGGTTTTTGACACTTAAGTTGGGTAAACAAGTTTATTTGTAAATTTAGTCAACATACATAATTGACCTAAAAACTTCAATAGAAGGATAAATTTTAAAACCACTTGGAAGGCCATCTCTATATATAAAAAGTGATTTTCCCAGGACATTAACCAGATGTAACCTAACCCAATACCATCTCAACTGGCAGAGGTCCAATATGCTGGAGCCGGGCACCTCTCCCACAGCAAGTTTACGCTAAGGGTTATTATAATACAAACTCCACAAGGAAAAGAACTTAGGTATTGTTTCCTCTTATTAGAAGGAAAACAAAACAAAACAAAACCCCGCAACCTAGTTATAAGACCAACCACAACACAATGAAAAGCTGCACTAACTAGTTCAGAGTATCATAACAAATGATGCTGGTGTGAATAACTCGCATTTTATTCTAGAGCCCTTATAAATAAAATCCCCCAGTTAGTGTTTGCGTTATCAGCTAGAGGGTTAGTTAACATGTGGTAGAATGAGGACTTATGCAAGGTATATAATGCGCATATAGCATTTCACTACTATGAAAACAAGTGCAGTCTAGTTAGGAGAAAACCAACTGGACTCTAAAATTACACACACCTTAATGACAAGACTCCCCACCACTTGTGAATGTAAAACATTTAATTTAAAAATGTTGACACTACAATATATAAAATAGCTATTATAAATGCACATAGTGTATTCTATAGCTGCCAGGTTTACTTTTTTTTTTCTTTTTTTTTAGGAAACTGTAAGTTACACTGTGGTTAAGACTTGTATCTTCACCCTTGAAAAGCCCACATTCTATCACAGTGATGTATGGTCAGACTTAACAGCCCCAATTGTTAAACACTTGGATCAAGTCATAACCAGTTTTATTGCAAAAGGACCCTGTACACATTTATCAATTCTAGTACCTTAATAGCTACCCAACAAGTCATTAACATACAGAAACATGCATCATGAGAAGCAAGAAGTATCACCCATCCCTTCTGCATATTAGCAACTTGTCACTCCTGAGCAACAGTGCTCACATCACTGAGGTCTGTGAACAGTCACTTTTCGCATTCATCCTGAGTGAAAGATGGAATGACTTAAGTACAAATGCAACATATTATAAACAATTTCTTACAAAAAAAGTCACAAATTAAACCAAAGTATTTTACAGAATTTACTACAAAACGCCATAAAAACTGCCTTCACTTAAGCTCTCTCTCCCCGTATCCGGCGAGCCAACTGGATGTCTTTGGGCATGATGGTGACTCTCTTAGCGTGGATGGCACACAGATTAGTATCTTCAAACAAACCCACCAGGTACGCTTCACTAGCCTCCTGTTGAGGACAAGAGCCACACTATTAAAACTCCCTCCAGGGAGAGGCGGAACCACAGGCGCCCTCCTCCCGGCCGCCAGCCTTTGTCCCTTACCTGAAGCGCACCGATGGCGGCGCTCTGAAACCTCAAGTCGGTTTTGAAGTCCTGGGCGATCTCCCTCACCAACCTCTGGAAGGGCAGCTTCCGGATGAGCAGCTCGGTGGATTTCTGGTAACGACGAATCTCTCGAAGCGCTACGGTCCCGGGCCTGCGGCGAGCAGAGGGTAAGCGGACAGCGAGCGGCAGCGCGGGCAGAGCAGAGCGCGACCACACAAAGCGCCGCCGAGTCATTGTTTCCCTTCCGCTCCCTACCTGTAGCGGTGAGGTTTCTTCACCCCGCCAGTAGAGGGGGCGCTTTTCCTGGCCGCTTTGGTGGCCAGCTGTTTGCGCGGGGCTTTCCCGCCAGTGGG